ATAAGTCATGTTGTCCTTTGAGTTCAATCAAGTCGAAGTGTTGTCTCATGTTCACCCAAAATTTCGGCAGACTCCCGTCATTGCACCGAGTTCACATCCCATCACGCTAAGAAAAGCGTGTATGGGCGGTTTTCTGGTGCGCCACGAACGCCGAAGAAATGTTTTTAGGTGATTACCCCTTTGTCGCAAGCATCGCGATGAACTAGGTCCCACCACGCTAAGAAAAATGTGTATAAATGATTGTTTTGTCACGCTGCAAGTGTGGAAATTGGGCTCTCGGAAATTTAGGAATGTATGGGCAAAGGCGAGATGTTGGCACGTAGATCAAGGCACAAGAGAGGCATTAGTCTCATTTATCTCTCTTTTATCCCTTCCCTTTTTCTAATTCTGCAGCTTTGCGGGATTTGGCCGAAGAAGCGCACGTAAGGGAGAAATTACCTTCACAGCGCTCGAGCTCCTGTCGTTGCTTGCGATCAAAATGGGGTAACTTCCGAACCTAAAGGAAAGGAACATCGTCGGAGGAGGTGAAGGTTAGGGCTTCTCTCTCTCTCTCTCTCTCTCTCTCTCTCTCTCTCTCTCTCTCTCTCTCTCTGGACCGGAGACGTGGCTTGCGAACAGGAAGGGCGGGGGTAGCTCGGGGTCGTGGACGGCAGAGAGCAGGTGTCGGCTTGGAAGGGGCGTCGGCTTCAGGAGGTTGGATGTTGGATGAGTTCGGCCGGTTAAGAGAGATCTAGCGTCGATTTGCTTGCGGTTAGGTTCGCAGGAGGAGGTCTGGTCATGGGAAGTTGAGGCTTCGTATGGGTCGGGATGAGGTCGGTTGTGAAGTTCGGATGTGGAGACCGGCATAGGAGAGGAAAAGGAAGTAGCGAATGGAGTTCGGCTTGGAAGAAGTGAGCGAGAGGAAGTGTGATTCTTGGCACCCACACTATTGGATTCATGTATTTGTGCATGCTTCCATCAAAGAGTTGAGAATTTGAAAAGAGTGAAAATATTTGGGGTTTTGTTATGAATTTCAATATTTGGTTTAGAATATGAAAAATGGAGGTATGAGGATATTATTTTTGTTCATCGCCAAAATTTGAATGTTATGCATGCAATTTCCCCTATTTTCAAATACGTGCATAAAACACATCTCAATCTTGGCAAAGCATTGGTTGATGGGTGGATTAGTAGAAAGGAAACCCTGTGGAGAGAAGACATTGGAGAGGAGTGTTCATTGAGGGTTTTGTTTGAAAGAGCCAAGAGAATTTTCATTTGACGCTATCTTCCTCCTTTCGCCACCATTGAGGCGTTGCCGTGTCAATTGTCATCGTGTGCAATAATGCAAGGATAAGTTATTACTTATTACCCTCTGGAGGCTGCCACAATCTGCTAGTGAGTGCTAGGTGATTTTAAAGTTTTTGGACATGGAATTTTAGGTTTTTTTACACTTCAAACATAACATACATATATTGAGATTAGCAATTTTCGGTTTTTCTTAGACTTGAACCTCTAGATCTCACATTTTGAGATTATTTAAAAAGATTTTTCACGCTTTTTTTTTCTTCTTTACATCTCTTCTACCAATTTTAGGAGTTGCATTGAACCCAATACAAGAGGAATCATGAAGTCACTATTCCTGCTTAAGAAGTTTAGAGACTATTTAACATGTTAGATTTCAAAGCCTTAAAGGATTTACTTCTAATTTTTTCATTTGTCATTCCAACTTAGGTGTACAATGTAGTAAGGTAAACCCTATATTTTAATTCCAAATTTTAATTATTTTTTTATTAAGTTACTCAATTTTTTCTTTACTAGTTTGACATTACTGCTTTACTTATTTATTAGGATTTGCTTGATTAATGTAGTTTAGAGTTTAGCATGGATCATATGTATTTAATGGATTTTAATTTTATGAAACTATGCTATTTTTACTTTGATTTATTATAAAGTATTCATTGTTTTATTTATCTATGGAGAAACACCTTAATAGATATCCTGATATAGATAAACTCAACATTGCTACTACTGGTGATAGTTGTAATGTAAAGTTTAAATAAAAATATGCAGAAACCAATCTAGATGATATTCAACAGATCTTGGATTAAGAAAAAAAGATTTTAAAGTATCATCCAAATAATCAAGTTAGAGTTCTAAGAGCTTACTTGCAAAATCGGCTTTGTCACTCATGACTATGAATTGCCTAAATAACAAATTATAAATAAATTGTGCAAATTTTAATCTGTAATGAATTGATGAATACAAAAGTTGGGAAAACCGTAAAGGTATAGTTTTGCAAAAGATGTAATTTGTTTCTCATTTTATGATTTTTGTAGATTTGATATGGGAGAACAATCAAATGGTGATAGTTTTCATGCTAAGTGATTTATGTATTAAATAAATAAAAAGGGGTTTCAAGTTCAAGTGAGCTATGCTAACAATGCTATGATTGTGGTTAGAGTATATGAGTATAAGTGATGATAAAAAAGCACTTTTATTGATGACACCTATTTATTCTACATGAAAAATCATTTAATCATTTCAAATATGTGCAAGACGTTGTTTTCATGTTATGCGAGTGAGCCTAAGGCGATATGTGCAAGCAATCACATATTTACCCTATTATGAGATACAATTATTTTATTCTATGATTTACATGAACTTCGAGGGTTCAATAACAGATTCAATGAGGTAAATACATAATTGCTTCTATGTGTGGCATACTGGCATGCTTGAATATATGCTACTCCTTAAATTTTGATAGGCAAATGTTGATTTGTTTGACACGATTATATCCTTAGGACTTCTCAAATATAGAACTTCTTGTATTAAATAATCATCTTGAGTATTTTGTTATTTTCATAAACTCAAGTGATGCATTCTTGAAATTGAAGTAGGATGAAAATTGCGGTGTCAATAAATTATCCGACCTAACAATCTGACATGGACCCAACCCAAAAAATCTAGGTTTGGGTTGACCCGTTTAATAAATAGGTTAGATTTGGATCCATAGTTTTGACCCATTTAATTGGCGGTTTGGGTTCGAGTTGAAGAACCTTGGCACCCACACATTAACCAATCTTGATAGGGATTCCTGAACACACAGATTAAGAGTTATAAGCATTGAATCGATCCTCTTATGACCCTTAAATTGCAATATGTATACCTTCTTTTCCTATTTTAGCTGTCTACCCCTCTTAATGTATTTTTTCTTTTATTTTTTTTGTAAATAGCTTTGATTTATTTTAAATTTTGTAAAAAAGTAGAAAATTTCCATGTTTTTTTACTACCAATCTTGCTTTCTATCGTTCCAATAAGAGCACAAGTTTACTCAGCCTAAGATTTGGACATGAATTTGATTTGTTGTCATTATTGAGTTCTAGAAGATGGTGTCGAGACCTGCAATATTTTATGGTGCAGAATGTTAACCATTAAAAGAGAAGCATAATATTAAGTTAAGTGTTGCAGAGATGAGGATGCCTAGATGGATGACTTTGCTTTTAGCGGCAGGATACGAAACAAGCATATACGAGAAAAAGTTGGAGTAGCTCCAATGGAAGATAAGATTAGAGAGAGTTGCCTTAGATGGTTTGGTCGCATAAAATAGAGATCTTTCGATGACCCGTTTAGAAGAGTAGATGTATTAGATTTGACTTATTTTAAGAAAGGTAGAGGTAGGCCTAAAAGCACTTGGTTAAAAAATATTAGAATGACATTTCTTTATTATATTTAAATGAGAATTTGACTCTTATCAAGACATAATGGAGAAAAAGGATTCATGTAGCCAACCCCACCTAGTGGGATAAGGCTTGATGTTGTTGTTGTATTGAGTCCTACAAGAAACTCAAACACTCTTTCTCTTTTTACAAATTATTTGAGAATAACAACATCATTGTAGAATGTCCTCTTGAGATCTTGGTATTAATCCAATTAAAGCCAATATGCCTTCATTGCATTAAAGTACTAATAACATGAATATAACCTTGGTTGTCAAAATGTTAGTTTAAATCTCATAGATGATATCAACATCCTTCACTTTTAATTATGTTTGTTTGATGACATCCCAAATTTCTTTTGCGATGGAGAGGAACATATATGGCCTTTTTTATTTCAAGGATCATGTTATTCCACAACAATTTCATACTCATGGAATTTCTTCATCCCAAATTATAATTTGGGGTCTTATGGCTCTGGAGGAGGATCCACAAGATAATTGATTTTTCCTTTTCCTTTCAGAAATGTTTTCACAATTTGGAACCATTTTAGGAAATCGGTCACATTGAAGAGAAGAAAGATTCTCAATAAGAAGGGAGAAAGAAAAAAGAATAGAAGGTTGGAAGACATAAACCTTTAACTTCTCTGATATTATATAGAAAAGTAGAAAGTAGAAAAAAAGTATTTTGAATTTCATTGCTTGATTTTGTATGAAATGTGGAAGTATTTATAAGCCTTCTCAAAAAGCCTATAATGAAAATAAATTAAAGCTATTTAAAATAACGTGAAAAAAATCCTCAAGAGGGTCAGGGGTTAGAATAGGAAGAGGAGCCAAACGGATTGCAATCTAAGGGTCATAAGATGATCGATCCAATTGTTAGAACCTTTAATCCGTGTCATGAATACCAACTACGATTGGTTGACTTGTGGGTCTCACAATTCTTCTATAGGTTGTTTTTTTTTCCTTGTTTGCGGCTTGTAAATAATGAAACAGTTGCTTGTTTAAGAATCTTGTATGCTTATTTTATATTTGTTTTGCATTAGATTTCTTGTAGCCCCATTAAAAATAATCCATAAAAATTGAATATCTTAATTGTATTTATTTCATTGCTGCTTTAGTTTGCATTTAAAAAATCGTAGACTTTGATCTGTCCTGAAATCGAGGGCTGTTCTCTTGTCGGAAATTTAATGTGTTTGTATTTTTATTCCGAAATAACATTTTATCATTTGAATAGGCACTGTAACTCTGGTATTGTTGATGAATGGGGAGTCCTTTTGCTTCTTACTTATTTTTGCAATCTTTCTAGGCTGTAATGGACGAAGTTGCACAAGCTGTCGAAGATGTGAAAAGGACATGGGATCAAACTGTGGTTCAAATTGAGGACCACATAAAAGAAATTCAACGTTGTGGGAAATCTGGAAAGGGAATTCAGGAAGTGAATTCTCTCCCTAGACTCAATAGTGCTGCACAGGATGGCCTGGCTTTGCTTAGATCACTGCAGTTTAGGTTTGATCTTTTGGCTCAACAACTGCCTACGGAAGAAGAAGTAGTGTCTGCTCTAGCAGCCTTAAGCTCTTGGAAAGAACAATACTTGGGGTGTGTGTTTGTACATTCTAATAAATGATATGTCACCGCTGACATCCTATTATCGTTCATTGTAGTCACTAATAAGCTCATTCGATTTTGCAAACATTATTCTGTGATATTTACCTTATTTGTTCAAATGTTGAAGCTTTTTTTTTTGTGTGTTCTCTCTTTTTTGCATTATTTCTTTCCAGACTGCATTCAAGCTTGAGAAATGCAAACTTGCAAGCCAAAAACAACATTAGAGAAGCTGCTCAGGAAGAGGTTGGCATTTTTATGCGTTTCTTCACTAAATTTTGACTTATCACTTGATTGTCATTTTTCTCCACGTAAATTTTTTGACATGCGCAGTTTTTTTCAACTTGTAGAGAGAGCTACTTTTAGGAGGTGGAGAAGAGTCTACCATCCGCAGACGTAACTTGCAGTATGTGTTTTTCTTTTAATTATCTGAAATGATTATAAACAACCATAATTTTTATAAATAGCTTCTATTGTTGTTTCTAGATGGTGGAAAGTGGAAACATGACATTAAATGGTCCTGTCACTCGTTTTCTGCCACAATTTAACCTCTTATTTTGCTGAAATCAAAGCGGATAAAACTCCCTTACCTTCAATAAAATAAAACTTTTCTCTACTTCCCAAAACCAAACTTTCTTGTCAATATAAGCACCTAACTACTCAATTGATTCATTCTTAATATCCATCAAATTCAGTTCAGTCGAAGGAAATGTTACTTATTGAAATTCTAACTTCTTATCATAAATCTCAATATCTTAATGCTTGCATAAACTGTGTTTTCTCAAGTAGGTAAAATAATGGATAATTTTTGAACTTATGCTTTTGGGGAATTTACGGACACACTTTTTAAAATATTATCTATTTACGTATATAATACCTAAATTATACTATTTGCTACCATACCACAATTTTTTTAATACAACAAAATAGCACCATAGTTGTTTTCCGTTACTGTGCTAACCCAACCCCTTGATTTTATCCATGCTGGAAGTTATAACAGACTTGAAAATAAATCATCCCAATAATTGTGGTGCAAAAATGTGCAAGGTGGTTATCTGTTCTCATTGTATGGAAAACCTGTAATACTTTTGCACATAGTCAGCATGAAAACTGCTAATCTATGAATTGCATCTTTTTGTTGACCATTTTTTAACTTTTGTTTTTGGGCTTTTCTACGGTCCTCGTCTTATGATACGAAGAGACTGTTAATGTTTTTTTCGTTGCATTTTTCTACCTTCGAAGAGAGAGTCATCTTAGATGGTTTGGTCACATAAAATGGCGGCCTTCCGATGACCTGTTTAGAAAAGTAGATGTATTAGATTTGATTTATGTTAAGAAAGGTAGAGGTAGACCTAAAAAGACTTGTTAGAAAATATTAGAAATGACATTTCCTTTTTAGATTTAGATTAGAATTTGATTCTTGATAAGACACAATGGAGAAAAAAGATTCATGTAGCCGACCCCACATAGGGAGATAAAGGCTTGTTGTTGTTGTATTTTTCCACCTTCTGATTTCAGGGATCTTTTTAGCTTGCAATCTAAGAATTGCATCTTTTTGTTGACCATTTTTAACCAGTTCTTGCATTTTTTTCCTTGTAAAAAATATATATATATATATATATATATAGCTTTAAAGATTATTTTTGATGCTATGATTATTAATATTATATGTGCTTATGCTCCTCAAGTAGCTTTGAATATGAATTCAAAATTAAAATTTTAGAATGACTTCGAAGAATTAATACAAAAGATAACTCTTGAAGAAAAAAATAATTTATTAATGGAGTTTTAAATGGATATATTGGTATGGAGATAGATGATTTTAACAACATTCATGGTGGCTATGGGTTTTAAGCAAAAGAGCTTAGAGGATCAAAGGATCCCGATGCTCCACCATAACACCACTACCATCCAATCATAGTTGGATCACTACCTAACCAACATGCGATCGCTACTATTAGATCACTGTTTAACCACCATCATCAGACCATAGCTTTACTTCTATCATCGAACCACTATTGTACTATCGTCGGGCCACTATCAGACTGCCACCGCATTATTACAGTCTTCAGACCTTCGTTGTTTGAGCACGATACTTCAACCATCCTGAATATGGCCCTTTTGACTTCCACCATTAGATTACTATCTCTGACCTTTGTCGGTAGACTACGATCTCTCGAAATTAGTTGTAGGACTACGGTCCTCCAAACATCATCGTCATACTATGGTCATTGGGCCACTATTGCCTAGCTATGATCATCCGGCCACCGTTGCCCAACCACGGTCATTCAACCAATGTTTCCTTACAACATTCCTTTGAGCACTATCGCCCAATTTCAATCCTTTGAACACCGTCGTTTGATTAAGGCTCTTTGACTATTTTCGCCTGACTTCATCGATGTTTGTTGACTTTGCCTCCTATCGTCATCAACAATGTCAATGTACTCCATTCCTCTAAAACTTCAGACCTCATTTCCTCTATTTTTGCTCCGATTAAGTGTAATTTTACGTTTTTCTCTTGTTCACTAGAAGATTGAAACGCTATCCTTTAAATTTGATCTACGAAATTTACATGACCTTTTTGCAGCAGAATGGCTGGAGTTTTATACCCGCCCTTATTTTTCCTCCATTCCCAATCTCTTAACTAGGTGACTGGTATCAATATGCCATTCGGAATGGTAGGAGGATGACGTGTAGCCTATTACCGATTATTAGCATAAGCCAGTACAAAGGGGTCATAATGTTCAATTTTATTCTACTCATATTTTCCTTGCATAGTAAATTTAGTAGGCCTAATATCTGCTTTTATGTTGTAGGACAAAGGCAGGAATGACATCTGCTGCGGAAAGCATTACAGAGAGCCTTCGACGAACACGACAACTAATGGTTCAGGTGATTGTTGATGATATTAAGGTGTCTACTGATTTAATAGGCTTCTATCTCTATTTGATCTGTTCTCAAGTTTACAGGAGGTGGAAAGAAGTGTAAACACCTTGGTAACTTTTGGTAAGAGCTCCCCCCTTGGCTTCTCTTATAGTTTCTTTTGTTGCTGTAAGGGGTGAAAGTTATGTTTAAGACATTCTTAGTTTAGTTTTTTTACTTAAGTGTATACTTTTTTTAAACATCTGATATGCTGCTTGGTTGTACGCATCATTTTGTGTGATTTTTCTTCACCCTCGTGAATTGTTTTGTAAAATTTTTTTATTGTCAATATAGATTTTGTTTCTGGTTCCTGCGTCTGTTTTCTTTTATAATGAGAGCAACTAACTTTTAGTATTTACTGCTAGCTTTCCTTTCATTTACTCTCATATTTTACACTTTTTGGCAATAAATACAAATTCAATCCTTCAAGGAATTTCCTTAGGGCTTAGAACATGAAAAAAAAAAAAGCCTCATATGACTTCAAACCATCCTGACACAGCAGTTGTAATTTTGAGAATACTGGAAGATACGTGATAATGAACATCAGTTCAACTTAATTTTGCTTTTAGCACTATTCTATTTCTCAAACTCACCTTCATTATCATTAGCGTTATCCCATCTAGGTGGGGCCGGACAATATTTCTCCGAATGAGGGAAACGAAGGCTACGTTTGGAACGGCTTTTTTGTTGCTTCTTAAAACAGTTTTTTAATATAAAAATTAAAATTTTTATACTAGAAAGCTGCTTTAAGAAGCAACAAGAAAGTCGTCCCAAAAGAAATACACTGACATGCCCCTTTTGCTGCCTTCTTGATTTGATGTGCATAATCCAACATATAAAGTAAATCAATGAACTTAAAATTTGTTTTTATTTACACAAATGCCACTCTTCCTTGCCCCGGCTTCCCTTTTAGTATTTTTTTATTTGTATCATACTAAAAGCAGTTATTCAAACTTTATCTTCTTATTATTAATGTTTTTCTAAAGTTATGCAATATTTGGAAGTAAAACAAGTTCAACGATGATTCTCATTTACCGCAAAGTTTTTGTGAAGGTTTATCCGTATTGCTTGTTTTGGAGAGAAAATTATTAGGCGCGGAGATCGGACGTAGAGATACGTCTGGATATCCACTTAAAGTTTGACACGTGGAGTGCACTTTGGTTGCACTTTTTTGTACGCTTTACTTGCGCATTACTTATGCTTTAGTTGCACTTTAGTTGCGCTTTGACTGTTCTAATGCTTCGTTTTTTTACTGCGCTTTTTTTTTTCTTTTTTTACGTATTTTTTGGGTAAAAAATAAAGTTTTTTTTACTGCGTTTTGAATGTGCTTTACCTGCACTTTACCTACAGTTTACCTACGCTTTTTGTGTGCTTGGTTTAAAGTTCAACCTACACATTAAATATATAAAGTAAAAAGTAAATCCAATTGAATATCCATGTGTCCACCCCACGTGTCAATATTTTATTGGAGTCCAAATGTACCTATACGTCCAGTGTCCGCACCTAATAATTTTTTGTTTTGGAGAGCTAGATTGACAGGACTTTCAGGACACTTACTTGGGTCATTATTGTTGATTTGTCATAATATTTGTCTTCCTAATTAATTCAGTAATGTTATCTTCATTTTTTGTGAGAACCTCTCCTTTGTTCTCTGAAACGTTCATTAAACCCCTGCTAAATCTTTATTTTCCCACAAATCTATGGAATATCAAGTATTGTTTTACCAATGAGTTCAATCTATTTTGTTAGAGGAATCAACTGGTGTTTTAAAAAAGGCTGAAAGCGAGTACAAGGGACAACGTTCGCTGCTTATGCATACCAGGCGGTTGCTCTCCACAATGCAGCGACAGGATGTCATGGATAGGTAATCTCCATTTTTTAAGCTTCATTTTTATAAGTGAAATAATTAAGGGTCTATTTCGCCTGGCTTTAGTAATCTATAAAGTTGATTGTAAAATTATTATAGTGAAGTAACTTAGTTACTCTGGTTGTAAAAAATAACTTTCTATCACAAAAAAACTTTTAAAAAATAATAAGAAAACAACAAGAAAGTTGTAGTCAAATAAAATTGTAGTTGCTGTATGAAAAGCAAAACAACGAAAAAATTGTCTCAAATAAATCCTAAATTGAACTAATATCTTCCATTCTTATTTGCATCAATATATATTAATTCAAATCTAATCAATATTGATATGATCAGTTTTTTTTATAATTGGATTTATTTTAAGGGTTTGTTTAGGATGGATGTAATTTTTTTGTAAAAATGATTGTAAAATTATCGTGAGAAAAGTAATTTGTTTAAAATTGCTGTAAAAAACAATTTTCTCATACATAGATTTCTTGAAAGCAACAGCGAAATAAGACTGTGGTCATGGTCTGAAAATCTAAGTAGTAAAGAAGTTATCCCAAATAGATCTTAAGATGAATGTAATATAAATTCTAATTATTTATTCATATTACATTCATTTAAAAGCTAAACTAATACAAAAGTAAATTTTGAACAATATATGATAGGAGGTTTGATAGTTGATACTAATTTATTAATTGAAATTATGAGCCAAATAAAGTTATGTAATACTTCAATGTTTATCAAACAGGGTTATAATGGTGGCCGGTTTTCTTATATTCATATCCGCTGTGTTCTATGTTGTGTCAAAGCGAATTGGCCTGCTAGCTTTGCAGAGAAAAATTGTCACAGCTATCAAATCGGGTTCAATGGGACATGAAGATGTGGGCAAAGAGCTCAGTAAATCAATAAACAAAGATCACTTGACCGCTGGACAACCTAATATCCTTTTACATGTTAACGATGAACTCTAAGGTTTTGTTTGGGACGGCTTTCTTACTGTTTCTCAAAACAGTTTTTTAATAAAAAAAATAAAATTTTTATATTAAAAAGTTGCTTTGAGAAGCTATAAGAAAGCCGTTCCAAATAAAACCTAAATCACTTTTATGATGTTTTTTCCCCTTAAATGGAAAAAGGAAGAAAGATTATCACTGACTTTGTGCTTTTATATTTTATTTTTTCCCTTAGAAAAAGAAGGTATGTGTGATTTATTATAATAATTTCTCTTCAATTCCTTCCCTTTATTGTATTAGTTCTGTCATGACTAATTTTGGATTAGGATATTCTGTTTTAACGGTAAAAAAAATGTCGTTTGCATGAATTAAATATGTTTGTAATTCATTTGTGAAGATATGAGGGACAATATAGAAAGTCCCTTTCAAATAATTAAGGTGAGACCAATTATGACGATGGCCCAGCATTTGAACTATATAAATGTATCTTGTGAGGAATATTCATGGAATATCTTAAGTGGAGCTTAAGAGGAAAAAAATATATTCGATATCTTCAATTACATAGTCATTAAAGAACTCAAAATATTGGAAAAAATATCAAATGATTATTTGGCTAAATTTAATTCTGGTAAAGTTTTTTTTTTTTTTAAATATAATTTCGGAATGCACTATAAAATTTATTAATTTTTGAGTAAAAATTTAGATTGTTGTTATTTCACTATAATTTTTTTTAATTATTGGTTTATATGATAATAAGCACTCAATTATAATATTTGCATGTTTTTTTTTTAAATAAAAGAAAGGAAGTAAATGAATAATTACAAATTATCAAATTATTGTTGTACATAAATATTGTACATAGAAGAAAGACGATCTCAATGTCCTACTCATCCTTTACAATTAAAAGAGTAATGCCATTAATTTATAAGTTAAAGAACAACCGTATCTTCATTTATAAAATAATGTTAACAATATTAATTAATTGTTTGGTTTGATGAATATAGAAATTTATTTTAATTAAATATGAATTTTTTGATCATATTCATTTTGCATCAAATTAAATTAAATGTTTCTAAAAAATTCCTTTTGCGCCTAGGAATATTCGCGGTGGTAGAGAAATATAAAGTTTAACGTCTTAGCTTTATATGAAGATCTAGCACATAATCACATAAGAGAAAGAGTGTTGCATTCATAAGGGAAAATATGAAAGTTTTATGCGGAAACCCCTAAAAAGTGGGGAAAAAACTACGAGGCTTGACATAGTTTAAAGAAATCCATTAGTATTTGCAGTTAATTACAAATGAGGCCATTCTTTGGGAGACGACATTGTCTTGATTTAACAAATATGCATCATATAAAGTGCATTACATTGTGGGAATTACAATAATCAATACATATATGTTTATTTGGTCGACAGGAGCATGACAGAGGTCATAAGGATCGTAATCGGGTGATGGTGGTCGACGGGACTGTAGTTCACGAGTGACAGAGATCAAAAGGATTGTTATATGGTTATGGAGGTCAAATGGATCGTAGTCGACATGCGTTGGAGGTCGGAAAGATTGTAGTATGGTGATAGAGGTCAGGAGGACCGTTGTTGAGCGATACAGGTGGGAATGACCATAGTAGGCGGGCGATAGTGATCAGAAAGACTATTATTTTGTGACGGAGATCAGAAGGATCGTAATCAGACCGGGTGTAAGTCCAACAATAATTGGTGACCGAGTAGAAGTCAACCTACGGACGATGATGGTGTAGAAATATGACGATGGACTGTCGGGTAGAAGTCCGAGAGAAGTTCAGGAGTTAGTTGGTGGTACGACAGAAGTCTGGCATTAGTCGGTGGTCTGGTAGAAGTCTAATGTCAGTCGGTGGTTCGGTGGAAGTCCGTCCTCAGTTGGTGGTTCGGAGGAATTCTAGCATTAATCGGTGGACCAGTGGAAGTCCGATGTCAGTTGATGGTCTGGTGGAATTCCGAAGGTGGTTGAGAAAGAGTTAAGTGGCAAGAGTAATCTTCGATCTCTCTTCTTGTTTCCTTCCTTGGGGTCCCCTTCCATTAGAAGCGAGGGGTCTATTTATAAATTTTTTTGGAGTGACATGACCCATAAATATGAGGAAGATTTAGGGTAAATTGGGAGTGGTTTGGATGGACGGACGATGTTGAATCCCTGGATTCTAGGTCGTTTATTAAGCATTTGAATATCTTAGTGATATCAAAATTTGGCAAAGTTGGGCTCGTTTGATTTGTCTCGTTAAGCTATAAGCATGCCATGTTTAGAAACTGTTTGGTAATTTAAATTATGGTTTGAATTTTCCAAATGTGTTTCGGGTTTTTGATTTGGACTCATTTGGGCTTGGATTGAGTCAAATTTGTTGTCGTTAGGTTCATATTTTCAAGACATTCAGTTTGACTATAAGTTTGCCGAAATCGAAGCTTAGATGATCTCGGATTTAATTTTTAAAATTTCCAACTAGATTTTCCCTCGAGATTTGTGCTTGATCAAGATAATTTTTTGATGATATATCAATGCCGTATAAAATAAAATGATAATGTTTTACTATAATAACTTTATGTGAAAATAAAGATTAAAATACTTAAATCTTCTTACACCATTTTCCTGTCATATCAAGCTCCAGCCCAATCTTCTTTACTCGTATTATTTATTGAAGAGTTAAAGGCTGTCCTTTTTCATTAAAACATATAACTTTTGAAAATATAAAATCTATTATCTCAATATCAAATTTTAAAAAAAAATTACCAGTGATTGGGCACTGCCATTTCAATCATTCCAATTGCAATGATTTGTTAGCAATTTAACTCTTTGAGTTTAAAGAAAACTTGTTAAAAATATTTTTATATGATCATTTAAAATTTTTTTCAACGATTTTATCTAGGATTGAGAAAGAAACAAAAGAAAATGAAATTATAAAAGAAACAAAATAAAAAGCAAGAGAACCTAGAAATCCTCTTCTCTATCATTACCAATTAATTATTCTGTGCGGATACACCAATAAGAATGCGCCATGTCACCCTCCTCTCGGTATCACGGCTGTGTATTGCTCGATACCGCTGACATGACACATTTTGATTCATCACTAAACGACATTCTGCATCAAACATCCGGACAAAATAATTTATTTCTCATTATAGTAAAAAATCAAAATCATCCAATACTACCATCTCAAAAGTGACCTTCTGGATCTGTTGTCGTTAGCACGTTGGTCAATATTTTGGTCAAGGATATGGTGAAAATTAGCAGCAAAATGATAAAGAATGTATCTTGGATTTTACCGCTCTCCTGCTTCGTGGGTTCCAATGTCCAGCAACAGTGGAATGGATTTTTTTAATTCAATTTTCATTAAATATTTCGTTGTTTATTCATTTTTCTGTGATGAAGCCCTAACTACGTTATAATCAAATGCAATGATCACGTAAACGTTAAGTAGAAGAAACCCAATACATCGCCATCAAATTACTGATTCAGCGACGCCCTATTGAAAAAATAATGAGTGGCGTAGAAATCAATTTAGCCCCGGTGGAGGAGTTCGATCGGAGATCGATCTCTTCCGTGTCTCGGAGGATTTGAAGCAGAGGAGGAGAAGGGGATGGAAGGATACTCGTGCTTTTGCTGGAACAGGGGAGGCGTATATGATATCGTCTCCAGCGAGCCGGAGCCTTTCTCCTTACCTTCTGCTATACCGGAATGGCCTAAAGGTGTGATCTTTTGTCCAGTTAGATTTTATTGCTTACTGTCTCTGTTTCTTTTGATTTTCTGCCAGGATTTGGAATTAGCTTCGAAAAGGGAGTGCTTTCTTTGTTTTCTCTGAAGGCAAACTCTTATTGTTCTTCCAAAAATTCTTTAATTTCTTCTTGTGTAATAATAGATGTCAGAAGAGATTGAGGAGAAAGCTTTTCTTCTTTTTGACAGATGAGTTTATATTGATCTAATTGCTGATCGCAGGCCACCTTTCATTATTGATTTTCTTTTTGTAGTGGAAGAAGTGCTAGCCTCCTGTGTAATTTTTGTAAGAAAGTTCTTTTAGTTTCTTCTTATCCTATACAGCATGGTCGCTTCCCAAATAGTTGGGATAAGGCTATGAACTAATGAACATGGTCCTTCCATAAAGATGCTCTTGATTTTCTAGGGTTTGTTTCTTTCACCAAAGCCAAACTTAAAAAGGAAAGTCTATATTGAAGACTCAGTCTCATCACCTAATAGATCACCACCTTCGATATTGTGTGCCCTGTTTTCTTGCTTGATATAATGAATTTTTGCATATAGTGTTTTACCTAAGAGATGCTGTGATGGTCACTTATAGTAGGATATCACCAACATTAATAACTAGCATGATGGACCCTATTGGAAGAGTAATGTAGAACATATATTATAAATTATAAGACTTAATAAGACCAAATAAATAATAACCTTACAGGAAGTCTAGTGTAGAACATATAAAACATCAAAGACAATTATAAATTTCAAAGGAGATATAATGCCTTTCCTAAAAATGGGGGAGGAAGAAGAAAGATAGGTCATTTGGAGAGAGAAAAATTTTGTGATTATACATGATATGGGAAGAAGCTATGAATCTAAAATCGAGGATGTATTTGAGGAGATGTGCAATAAACATAGTGGTGGAAACAACATGAAAAACCCTGATAGATGTTCGACAATTTTGAATCAAACATTCATGCTCTACCCGAGAAAGCATGATCAAACATGAATGAGTGATAGTAGTGAGAAGCGGCAAAACTATTTGCATGAATAGATTTTCCGAAGGCATGTTGGTAATTAGGAGGATAGAAAATTTTCGCTAAATATTCTTTTGAAGGATGATTGGTAGAACAATAGTGAGAGCCGGGATGGACTTTCCCTTGCGACCATAAACAATATCAGTCCAACCGCCATAACTATGTCCCCATGATGGTTAGTAGTGAGGGTTGTCTAATTCGTTTGGTGGAGAATGAGATGATAGCTCAATGTCTCTAAGAATAGAAGAGATAGCAACTGTTGCATTGAACATCATTTGAGATTGCTTAAGTTGAAGGAATTAATGAAGGCCAAAGAGAAGTTACTA